GAGTTTTAAGTAATATGTATTAATAAACAGTACTTTACACATAAAAAGTAGTTTTTAAGAGTTTTTGTCAAATGCTTTATAATATAGTATAGATTTTTTTAATAATTTAATTTAAGTTTAATAATGAAATAATTTATTTTTGGTTTAATAATATAACATTTTATAAAGATAACAATTAAGTATTCTGTTAAAACTCAATGATTATCTTAATTATATTTTAGATTTTTTATATTTAAAATGAGATATTTATACTGTATTTGATTGTATTTATCTGCAGTTAGTTACACGAATTCAGATATGGGATGAAATCGTTTAGGGGTGAACGGATTTAAGAGTTTTTAAAAGTTTTAGCCAAATGCTTTATAATATAGTATATATATATATATATATATATATATATATATATATATCTTTTCTAAAATATTGTTTTAAAAGGAACCAAGTTGGCCCCGAGACAGGGTCCGAGATCAGTTAGGGTGCGTTTTGTACAGCAGGGATACATTGGTCATTTTACTAGTTCAATCCTATAATACCAAACACTAACATTTGTTTTGTTCTATCATATTTTATCATACCATGTCATGTTTGGATACTAAACGTACTATTACGATACTAGAATCAGTCACTTAGAATTTTAGGTCAGGGCCAAGACCAAAATCGACCGACCTAGTTTTACAAGAACCGATTTAGGACGGGCCCGGGACCGACTTATCGACCTCTCTAATATTAACCGGGCCACAATTATGCTTTTCAACAAGCTAGCCCAAGTTATGCATTATGGGCTTAACTATAATATCAGCAGATTGAAACGACGCATTTACCCTTGCTGCTACTGAACCTTCGTCGAACTCAGCCGAACACGCCAAGCCGACGAGACGCTGCTGTATCCAAGCTGTCTCACGAGTTTCCATGGCGCCTTCCTTCCCCTTCGAGGAACGAACCACAAAATCACCTTCCAGTTCATATATATCCCCCCTCAATGTTCCTTCTTACAATCACAAATCATCACACCAACACAAATTCCAGATCTAATTCCATTCATCTCTATAAAAATGGCAACCACAAATCAATCACAGTTCGAAGATTTCTTACCGTTAATGGCGGATAAATTGGGCGGCGATGGTCTGATTGAAGAACTCTGCAACGGATTTCAGTTGCTGATGGATGCCGAGAAAGGTGTGATCACGTTCGATAGTTTGAAGAAGAATTCTTCAATTTTGGGGCTTGATGGTATGAGCGATTATGATCTGGCTAGTATGGTGAAAGAAGGTGATTTTGATGGAGATGGAGCTCTGAATCAGATGGAATTTTGTGTTCTTATGTTTAGATTAAGCCCTAATTTGATGGCTCAATCTGAGTTTTTGTTAGAAGAGGCTTTAGAGCAGGAATTTGATAGTTTTCGCCATTGAATTATTGGGATTTGGTTTTCTGATTACTTGTTTATTCACAGATGAATAAAATCATTGAAATTGTTGATAATATACATTCGTGTTCATATAAATTTGCAGTCCAGGCCACTTAATAAATAAATAAATAAATAAATAAATATATATATATATATATATATATATATATATATATATATATATATATATATATATATATATAG